TCTTCGAGTAGGTACGGGTCAATCATTCGTCCCATCGCTTTTTCGTTCACCTCTGGGCCTTTGACCTGGAGCAATACTGGTGCCGACCAGTGGTGTAAGTCCCGGCTGCGCATGGTAAACAGACGGGCCTCACCCGTCCCGAATCGAGGCATCTGATCCGCTGTATAGTCTGGCCGGGGGTACGTTTGCAGGCAAAGCACCCACTCATCACCCTGCCGAACCAGGTTCCCAGGGCTACTGAAGTCAAGCCGCTGATCGCGGGGTGTTAGAATTCGGACCGGTGACCAGTGCTGCAGGTCTTTCGTCTGACTCATAGCGGTGTACGAATACACCCGGTTATCGTCTTCGACCCGAACTAAGGTGAAAAAGACGTACAGGCTATCCTGGTAATACAACATGGCCGGGTCGCGATAGGCCGTGCGTTCATCGCCCCGAAATAGGATCGGAGAGGATAAAGCGGATAGTCGGTTCCTGGTTGGCGGGGGAACCTCTAGGAAGCTTAGACCGCTTATAAGCCACAAAAGAATAAGTTGCATGCGCTGGTTTAGTAAACGTTAATGGACAAGGACGCGTCCTTTTAAAGCGTATGGAATTAGTAACCTCACTTTCTGAGGGGTATGATGTGGTGTTTCAATAACCACTCGGTTCGTCTGATTCCCCGTGATGAGTAGGTACTTCGTAAGATCAGTTACGAAAGGAGGTACCATAATTGAGCCATCGGTGATGTTTTGTAAATGTATCGTTTGACTTTGCGTGGCTGGATCACACGTGAGGCCGCTAAGTTGCGCTTTATCTACATTGCTTACCGATAAAGCATGGCGATGGTAATCCTGGCGAAAAGCAGCATTCCAGCTGACGTTACAATCCTTTATCCGAACATTCGTTGCCTGCTCAATCGTGACGGCGTGGGTCATTCGATGGTCCGCCTGACTTTCCGGATTCATCGTCATGCGTATAGCTGAAAGGTCGATATCGTCGACTGATTGCGCGTCATACCCCTGGATCAGGGATGTTCCTTCCGTTGTCGCGACAATATTGTGCAAACGAAGCCGCTCAATGCGACCAATTTTTGAATCGGTACTGCGTTTGATCACCACAAAATGGAAGGCTTCTCCATTACCCCACCAGAAAAATGGTTTCCGCTGGCAATCGATCAGGATGTTATCAAAGTGAACATCACTGACCAGACTGCCATCCCGGACAATAATGCCCAGCCCCCGGTTCGACTCTTTAATGAGGCAGTTGGCTACCCGGATGCGCGTGATGTCCGCGTGAGTTTCCGTACCAATTTTAAAAGCGCAGGATGACGAGCTAAGAAGACAGTTAGTCACGATGATATCCCGGCAGGGCTCTGAACGGCCTGCCTGTCGGGTAGACTTCAGACAAATTGCATCGTCGCCGGTACGGATAATACAGTCAGAAACGATGACATCGCTACACCCATCAATATCAAGGCCATCCGAATTAACCCCCTTTTCCAGACTTGATGTAATGACCAGTGATCGAACCCGCACCTGGCGGCACCATTGCAGGTGGCAACTCCAGTTCGGCGAATCCAGAATGGACACATCTGTCAGGACCACATCCTGGCAACCGGTGAGGTAAACCAGAGAAACTTTGGGGGGATGAGCTATCGGCTTTTCCATAGCAACTCCAGCCCGCCGGGCTGTTTCATTCCAGCCGGGGTACGTATCCTGATCGGTTACAGTCTGCATGCCGAACGCTGGAGCGCCCTTAATGCGACCAAGCCCCGTGATGGCAATGTGGCTCACGTTCCGGGCCAGGATTAGGACGGGTGTCACGGCTTCGCCGGAATGCTCAAGCCCTGCTTTATCGTTGTGGTATAAGGTCTCATCGGGAATGGCGTGCAGGGTCGCTCCACGACTAAAATGAAGTTCAACATGACTGCGCATACGGATAGTAGCGGAATAATAGTCACCCGCCGGAAAGAAAACCACCCCACCTCCACCCGCGGCACAACTGTCGATCGCTCGCTGGATGTAGGGTTCAGCATTGACGTATTGATTACGGGGTGTTTCAAAGTCAAGTACAGAATATACGTTGGCCTGAGCTAAACCTCTACTGCTGGTTTGGGCTAAACCCGCAATGGGCACAGCGCACAACAGCCAGGCAACACAGCACTGCGGGAAAATATACCAACCTTTAATTTTGCACGCGTTGAAACGTATTGGGGCACTCCATCTCAGAAGTGCGCCCCAATACGGCCATGGCCAATAATCCACTAATAAGCTAAACCTCTTTACTTGGCTATGATACATCGATGTTGGCATTAATAACCCGGGTTTTGTTTTAGGAGGGGGTTAATATCGATTTGTTGCTGAGGAATAGGGAAAAGCAAATCCCGCTCAGAAAGGGTCTTGCCCGTAGCCCGCATGAGGGTCAGGGCGCGGCCCGTGCGTAGCAGATCGAACCAGCGGTGCCCTTCAAAGGCTAGTTCGATCCGCCTTTCCTGCTCAATAGCCAGTCGGGCATCCGATTGGGATAGAGCTACGCGATCCGCCAAACCCGCTCGTTTACGAACCTGGTTGAGATAGGGCAACGCCAGAGTGGTTTGATTTTGCTCTATAAGAGCCTCGGCATACATGAGTAAAACATCGGCGTAGCGCAACACCATCCAATTGCCATCGCCATCATTCACGGTCGACAGGGGAGTAATGTATTGTTTTTTTACGTAGGGATCCGTATAAACCTGCTGCCCGTCCGTCCAGGTTTCGCTCAGGGAAACGGACTTGCGCAAATCGCCTGGCTCATATGCCACAAGTATGTTTTTGGTCGGCCGGTTATACCCTCCACCACTCCCCTGCCCGGTCAACGCAACGGCTCCCCGCCGGGGTGAAAACGTCGTGGCATAAGAACTACCTTCTCCCTGACTATTGGCTTTGTAGGCGACTTCAAAAATGGATTCTCTGTTTTGCGCATTCGCATCGCGAAACACATCGGCATAGGTAGGCAATAAGCTGTAGGTCCCCGCATCGATGACGGTTTTGAGCACCTGGACGGCCAATGCATACTGCTTCTGCGTCAGATACACTTTCCCCAGCAGTGAGCCTGCGGCTCCTTTAGTCGCCCGACCAATCGCATTGCCCGTGTAGCTTACCGGTAGCTTGGTGCCCGCATCCGTCAAGTCGTTTACAATCTGTGTATATACTTCCCGAGTAGGCGCTCGATCCACTTGATAGGCATCCGTCGCACTTAGTACGCTCGTTACCAGCGGCACGTCGCCGAATACCTGCACTAGGTTAAAATAGGCTAACCCCCGCAAAAACTCCGCTTCACCAATCAATTGATTTTTCTGACCCACATCGGAAAAGCTAACGGTATTGATCCGGCCCAGAAGTGTGTTGCACTGATTTATCAACCGGTAATGGGCATTCCAGGTATCGACAATAAAGCTGTTGGAGGGAAGCAGCGTAAACGTATCGAAATCCCCGTAGGTCTGTGAGCCGCCGGCATAATCTTCCTGCTCGGTGTTATCCGACCGTTCATCGGTATAGAGATACCAGTTTCCGTACATGCCTGACGCCTGTAGGGTTGAATAGGCCCCCGTAATCGCCGTTTGGAAATCGGCCGGTGTCTTGTAAAAATTATCGACGTTAGCCGAGGAAATAGGCGTGAGCGCCAGGAAATCGTCCTGACAGGCGGATAAGCTCAGGCACAGGGCCAGTATAAACGTAAATCGTGTCATGATCGAATAGGAGTTAAAAAGAGGCATTCACGCCAAAAGTGAAGGTTCGGGCTAGCGGGTAGACGCCATAATCGACGCCTTCCGTAAGCGGATTCCCATTGTAGTTGCGATTCACTTCCGGATTATAGCCCGCATAACGGGTAAACGTGTAAAGATTCTGCCAACTCGCATAAACCCGTAGATTTTGCATTTTCAAGCGTTCAACCCATTGGTTGGGTAATCGAAATCCCAGTGAAACATTTCGGATACGCAGATAGGAACCATCCTCGATGTAGTAGCTTGTCACCTGGTTCGAATTCCCCGTCGCGTAGGCTTTGGTGTGTTTACCATCCCCAGGATCCGCTTCACTTTTCCAGCGGTTGACTAAATCAGCATACGCATTGGAAGCCGCAATGAAGCCAAAGAAGCGCCGTTGCAGAAAAAGCACCTGATTGCCCTGCGAGCCTTGTAGAAGCACACTTAAATCGAACCCTTTATAAGTAAATGTATTCGTCAGGCCGAATACATACTTGGGGTAAGGCGTACCAAGTATCGTTCGATCATTGGCATCAATTTTTCCATCCCCATTCAGGTCCTTGAAGCGAAAATCGCCGGGTTTAGTCACGACCGGACTGGCCCATTTGGGGCCCGCATCGACCTGCCCCTGATTCTGGAACACACCATCGATCTGGTAGCCATAAAAATTACTGATGGGGGATCCAATCTGGGTAATGTGCGTATCCGATACGTCAGTCGATGAGCGGATGGGGTCTCCCTTAGGTCCCAGTGCCAATACGGTATTTCGATTAAAGGAGATGTTGGCGTCGGTCGTCCAGGTAAACGCTTTGCCTGTGAAATTACGGGTTGTCAGGCTTAATTCCAGGCCATAATTCTTCACTTTGCCAATGTTTTGTAGCGCATTGGTAAAGCCAGTAATGGAGGGGACCGGCACATTCAACAGCAGGCCCGAGGTAATCCGGTTATAGTAGTCGGCGGTAAACAGGATTCGGTTGTTAAGTAACCCCACTTCCAGACCAATGTCCGTTTGATTCGCTTTTTCCCAAGTCAAATTGGGGTTGGCAATCGTTGAGGGAACAAGCCCATTGGCCAGATTTCCCGAACCATTACCCAGAATGTAATTGGACGAGTTGACCAGCCCGATCGAGCCGTAATTACTAATAAAGTTATTCCCATTCTGGCCAGCACTGGCACGCAACTTCAACTCGCTGATCGCTTTTAAAGGCTGCATGAAGGGTTCTTCAGAAATTCGCCAGGCTACCGCCACCGACGGGAAATTACCCCAGCGATTCGCCGAACCGAACCGGC